ATATGGCCTTTTCCTCCGGTGCGTCTAAACTGGCAGTTCAGAAAAAAATGGAAAACCGGTTTTTATTAGCCAAAAAAATCCCAGTTCGGCTGATGTGTCCCCACTAAAGGACCTGATCGCTCGGTTTACCAATCTTGGGCCCCGGTTCAAATTCAGCCTTCATGTAGTACTATCGAAGATCACTGCTACCTCCCAACTCGGGACTTCCCAAACAGGCTTCGATCTCCGGTCCTATGACCCGTGCTATGCACAGCCCACATATTACAGCCTTCCGGAATCACCTCAATGGTGCCATCAGACACCGTCTCGACAGATCCTCCATGGGCCAACCTTAGTGAAGATCGTCGCAGACTTTTCCCATATTATAAAAGCGCCGTCCCTGGGATTTAAACATGGGATCTTCCCATAACGTTTAGTGAGGATGACAACTAGACCACTTCACTAAGTCGCCACACCTCTTAATACATAATTTTTAATTATACTACAGTACTAGAAAACAAAAAAAACCTCACGAAACTTACAAACTAATAAATATATGCAAAAGAATTTATTATTTAGTTTTAGAGAAAGAGAATAGATAGGTACATGTAAAGTAGATAAATGTGATATTTATTACTAATAAACCCAAACTCATTAAAGAATCTATACAAGAATATAAACCAAAATTTAACTATTAATTTATGGCTAACAAATCCAAACACACTACAAAAACCAACAAATTTAAGCATTAAGCCCTGAGCTTCTACTACTAAAAGCTTGTACCTATTCAAATTAAACAGTTGTAAATAAAAGTTTATTTAAATCTAACGTAATAAAATAGGTTTATATGAAAAACGTCTCCAATTACCTTCACTCTACTATATAATTTTACACGCCCAATAGACGGCGATATATTTTGTCTTCTAAGTAAAGTTTATGAAAAGTGTGATCTTTTTGAGATTCTTTTGTACAGTGAATATTAACGTTCGTTTAAAGCTTGGAGTGGCTTTTGTAGTGATTTTTTATTAGTGAAATGTTACATTATCAAAAAGTACTTTAAAGTGTATAAATAAGTTACCCGGTAGTTACCTGGGCAATTGATTTACATTAGCCAATCAAACAAATGTCTAACCATGAACGGTACCTCTTCTGGAGCACTTTTTTAAATTTTGGAAAGTGGCATTAACAAAAATGAAAGATGGCATTAACAATTCTCTAAAAATATTATAATAAGTTAATTTAATTAATAAATAATTTTGCTATTTATCACTGCTAGTAATTATCACTAGTATTGCTATATCTCAAAAACATACTAAGTAAATGGGATCGGGCACTCAAAACCTTATACAAACTAAAATTGAAATCTTATACTGTATTTGCTTTATATTATATTATATAAAAAAAAATAATTCTATAATTTCTAACCCTAACTTTAACAAATCTTAGGTAATATGTAGTAATTTTCATTAATAAAAAAATTTTTTTTAATAAAATAGTAGTTGGCTAATTTAAAAATTTATATACTATATATATACTACAGTATATATACAGTATATTATACAGTATTTATTTTTTTAATATAATATATATACAGTATGTATATTATTAAATAAATACTGTGGTCTCACCTTTAACATTAAAAAAAAAAAAAAAAAAAAAAAAAAAAAAAATACTGTATACAAAATTACAAAAAGTCGATAATGATGAGACAATAATGATTCAATACTTTGTTATTTATAACAGTAAATGGAGCCAAAATAGACTAAAATAATTGGATTATGCATGAGGTACAAAATGCCTTTTGGAGCATGTGTCATTGCATAGCCTCATTTATGGAGTACGTGGCATTATATAAGATCAGTGTTTCTTTTGCTATTTTTCAGTGATCTCTAAAAAGCTATAGTGTATCTTTTGAGAAGCTTTTTGTCACAGTAGTAAAACTATAGTCTTTATGGCGGGAACAATTGATGAATATCATGCAACTCTTAAAATTCTTCTAATTGGTAATTCTAATGTTGGGAAGTCCTCTCTTCTGCTTCGGTTTACTGAAGATACATTCTTACCGAAGGACGATGTGTCAGCTACAATAGGTGATTTATGAATAGATTTATATTTAAAGCAAGACCGATTGGATTGTTAGAAAGAAAGCTAACTTGGCTTAAAACTATATTAAATGTCTTTACTCGCAATAAATAGGTGTAGATTTTAAAGTAGTAGATACAGTAGTTAATGGCAAGAGATATAAGTTGACTATTTGGGTGCACCATATTTTTTAATTTAAAGTTCTCAAATTCTTAAATCTAGGATTCACGACTTATTCACTTCAAAAATTGATAGGATACTGCTGGTCAAGAACGATTTCGAACTCTCACTTCTTCATATTATCGTGGTGTACAGGGCGTTATTCTTGGTAATAGTACTCTTGATCAAGTTTTAACAGACAGTGTTTTAGTTAAATCATTCACTCAATTTATTGTTGGTCACTAGTTTACGATGTAAGCAAGAGAGAATCATTTGACCAGTTGGACAGTTGGTTCGGAGAATTGAATACTTACTGTTCAAGTAAAGACGTGGTGAAAATGATTGTCGGAAACAAAGTTGACAAAGTATATATTAAAAAAATTCACTATGAAATTAAACAATTACTTATTTTGATTTGCATTTATTCTATTGCCTCATAGGAACATTCTCGAGTAATTTCTCGTAAAGAAGCTGAAGCATATGCACGAAAAATGCAAACCTTGTTTATTGAATGTAGTGCTAAAACTAGAGTTCGTGTTAAAGAAGCTTTCGACGAACTTGTTGAAAAGGTTATTTTAATTTCATTTACCTTGCAACATTTTTTACTCAGTATTATGTTATTTACTAATTATTTAAATAGATCATTGAAACACCAAGTTTATGGCAAAAAAAAGAAAAACAACCTGACAATATCAATGTATCTCATTCTGCACAAACAAAGCAGGAAAATTCTGCGTGTTGTTAACTTACATTAGATATTCGAGAGAGGTTTTTAGACAATGTATTAATGAGGCGCAGAATAGAACACGGGACGTGTTCGCTTCAAGTTATTTAAGGTCAACAGAATAGTAGGATAAAGGTAAAGTGGGACTGTACAGATACGCCGCCATTATTATTTATTCACGAGTTAATGTCATAATTGCACATACTGTATTTGTATTTGTGGTTAAATATTTACAAAGATTCATGGTTGTATATGAATTGGTTAATATTAGGTGGATTAATAAATAATATGACAGAGACTTTGTAATTTAGATATATATTTATTTTTATTTTATTTTTTTTTTTATTCATGTAAATTTTGTATTTAGCATTATGTTATTAATTTTTATTATCAAATAATAAAAGCATAGTATTATTAAAAATTTGTACACGGGTATTAAATTTATATTATAAAAAGTTTAATAAAACTACCGTAGTGCACTGACCAAAAGACCCGGGGTCTAATACAAAATACCCAACAAAAATCTTACAAAAGACCCGGGTAT